AACATATTAATACAATCTTGCCTTTTTGAACTTTGTAAACATTACATTATATTATATATTCCCTCTTGCTCTTGTTTTTTTCATTCTACTTTGTGCTTATATTCATCCACATTGTCACATGAAGCTGAAAGTCATCCATCTTCACTGCTTGGAATAAGCCACAGTCTGTCCTCTTTCCTGTTGGTGAACATTTCAGTTACCAGCAGTACTCCTGAGGACACTCTTAGACTCACTTATTGGTGCAGGAGAGCGTCAGCATTCCCAGGGAGGTTTTCTCTGCGATGGCACTACTGAAATTTTGGATCTAATACTTATGTGCTGTGGGAAGCTATCTTGTGCATTGTGGGATGTTTAGTGGCATCTTTGACCTTGACGGTATTACTTCCCCAGTTATGACAGCTGAAAATGTCTCCTGACATTGACAAACGTCCCCAGTGTGAGGATGGAGGTTGAATCCCTTGGTTCACAACCACTATCCTAGGGTATAGCAGTACCATCTAACAGTGGCATTACTGGGTCATGAAACCAATGTGTAACTTTCCTACACAATGCTAATTGTTTTTTCCAAAGTGACCACACCAGTGCATATCCTAGCAGTAATATCTACTAGCCAGTTAATCTACAGTTTCTTCAGTGCTATTGTCAGACATTTTCCTACTAAATATAAAATGGTGTCTCCCTGTGGCCTTTCATTTTCCTAATTTATGACAAAATGAAAATACTTCTGCTTGCAAGTTTTTTGACCATGATTATATATTTTGTCCCCTTTCAAAAGTTGTGTTTTAGGAAATGTTTTGCATGTATGTTGTTGTTTTTTAGCGGCATTGACATCCCTTCTCTGAATTTATAGTTTGACTTGTCCTGATTGCTTTGGTCCTCACATTAGTGCTGTTTTTAATGTTTCTATCACACATTTGAAACACATTTTCCTTTTCATTTGTCCTCTGAAGCTGAGGAAATGTGACATCAGCCTTGAGACCCATATTTGGGAAAGCTAAGTTGGCTTTCAAGGAAACTATGCCCTGTGGTCAGTTAGGCTAGAGGCCTGTGGATGTCACTTCCAGAGTGCAAGGGGGGCTCAAAACTAGGACTATATGTGGCAAAAAACATGAAAAATCCTGATGATTTCAGAACATGCTGTGCCCTAGTATAACTCCTTATCAACTGAAAGTAAACAAAATGACCCTACAGGTCTCTGAAAAACAGTGGTCAAAGACCTTGAGATTAGACAAACAGAATTCCTTAGCTTAGACAAACAGAATTGTTCCTTAAGAGAAAATTCAGCAGAGGAAAAAGACTGAATTCTTTAACCTTGAATGGTATCAGCATAAAGAATCATTCTGTTTCATTAATTTCATCATAGGATGAAAAAGTAAAATCAAACCTAGACAACCCTGTGCACTAAGAAGGGTTTTGCCTTCCCACCTATTTTGGTTGTAGGGGAAGGCCGGCTGTGACACAGAATATCCTGGATGTGAGTCATTATGTGGCCTCCCCTGAGTCCTGCATGGGCACTTGTGATTTCAAAGCTACATCAAAAATCATGTGAAGGTCTGTCTATTCCAGGGTGAAGATGTTAATCCCAAAGAGGAGACAGTAGGGATGCCTGAGTCATGGTGGCTATCTTAGTACTTCTGTGGAGCAGCTAGTTACCTGGAAGAGAAAGGGAGCAGAGACAGAGCTTACAGAGGTGGAAGTTATCAAAGGGAAAGTGTTGCTTTCTGTCATGATATGGAATGCTGAGCCCTCTTAGGCAATGAGAGTTCTGAGTGCTCATTGGTGGGAATGTTAGAGATTTTAAAAGGACTCAACACAGTGATGAGGATGATAGCTAAGAGCTTAAAAAAAAAAGTCATTTGTTCACTGTAAACCAAGCCACTTCAAATGACTTATACAAACCAATTCAGTCCTCTATTCTATGTAGGAATGAGGAGAGGAGGCCCAGGTCACTCAGCTGGTAAGGAATGGAGCTGGAGAGTGCATCTTCCAGGTTGCCTGAATGGAGCCTCTCCAGCAGACTTGGCTTCGAAGTTACTTAACCACCTGGGAAGCAAATGAAATCAAGTCACTGGGGAGGCAGAGGCTCTGTTTTGCTTTGAAGATGAGAAGCCCATTGGTTGGCAGGGAGGAGGATTTTCTGGGCAGACCAGAAGTAATACCTACAAATTCCTAATCAAAATGAGAGAAGGTGGTGGAGGTTGTGGCTACAGTTTTTAATTTGGCTGCTGTGGGGAAGAGTAGAAGGGAAGAAGACTAAGGATAGTAGAAGGTGGTGTATGTGTCAAAGCAGTATGAGGCATGGAAGAACCAATGAGGCATACTGATTTGTGCCTTGTGGTAATATAGGAAGAATGCTACTTCCCACTGGCTTCCTTGTTTCTTACAGAACCATTCTTCAATCTATGTATGATACATGAACCATGGCATTCTGCCGATACTTCTCTTTTCTGCCAATCTAATCGGTCATGAAAAGCAGCCAAATCTTCTTCAAAATGTGTCAGATTCATCCTTTTTCCCTTAATTTCATACCTGTCACTCTGCTCTGCTCTATCTTCTTTCTGAGGTCTGCATAGCTTTGATATCAAAACCTAATAAGAACATTATAAGGAAGGTGATTACAAATCAATACCTTTTTCATAAGATATATGTAAAAAAAATCTCAATAAGATACTAGCAAACACCAGCTGTATGTAAAAAGGTCATCATCAAGTAAACATAAAGTGTAATTTAGAAATTGATAGCATGTACAGTAGTGTGAAAATATATCTAGAAACAGATTTAACGAGATATATGTAAAACCTGTATGAAAATTTTAAACAATAAAATTAAAGATTGGAGTAAGATTACATCATAGTTAAACATACAACAACCATGGGTTAGAAGATGCAATATATAAAAATATCAATTCTTCAAATCAATTAGTAGCATAGAAAGGTTTTGTGTGTGTGTGTGTATGTGTATAAATTGACAAAATTGTTTTGAAATTCTCTTGGAAGTGTAGAGCCAAAGATACAACAATGGTAATATCTATCATAAACTATACTAATTAAGATAGCAAAGGATTCACCCAAAGATAGAAAAATTGACCACGGTGAGAGAAAAATCCTTAAACACCCCCGGAGATATATTTGATCTATTGTAAAGATGATAGTGAAGTGCTGAAAGATGACCTTTTACTAAGTTATTTATGGGTTTACTGTATATCCATACAGGAAAAGATGTATCTAACCATTATCTGACATAATACACAAAAATCAACTCGAGTTTCAGGTCTGTATGTGAAAGGTTATATATGATCAACTTTTGGAGTGGTACGTCACAGAATACTTCTAAGACCTTGGTGTAAGCAAACATTTTAATTTTATTTTTTAAAAGATTTATGCATGTAAGAACTGGGCTATAGGCCAGAAGTGTGGGGTGAGAGGAATCACCAGAGTGGGGAACAGATCAGGCAGATTGACTGAAATACACTGCTGAGGGGAGCAGCAAGTGGGAGAGAAGAGGTCTGCCGCGCCATGTGGGTCGCCTCCCTGACTGGGGATTAAAATTGTGCTGCAGTGACTGTGGATAGCTTCATAATGCTGCACTTTAACAACTTGTGCCACCAGGGAGGGCCTTAGGCAAACATTTTTAAAGCAAGACAAAAAATAACTAGTAAATTATAACAAAAACACAAATTGGATAAAGAATAAGAACCTTGGTGGGCCCTCCCTGGTGGTGCAACAGGTAAGGATGCAGCACTGCAAGCTGGCCACTGCCACTTCAGTGCGAGTTCAATCCCCTTCCCCAGAGGTGACCCACATGGTGCAGCAGACCCTTCCTGACCGGCCCGCTGCTCCCCTCAGCAGTGTATTTGGTCGATCTGCCTGTTCTGCTCCCCACTCTGGTGAATCCTCTCACTGTCCCTGCCCCTCTTGCTTGTACCCTAGTTCAGTATGCATAAATCTTAAAAAAAAAATAAGAACTTTTGGTTTATTAAAAGATACTGTGAAGTGTATATAGAGGCAACCCACAGAGAATAAAAATATATTTGCAAAACATTAATATGACAGAGGACTTATATCCAAATTATATAAATAAATTTTGCCAATCAAAAAGATAACTTGTTCATTAAAAAAATGGACAAAGTATTCAGATACTTCCAAAAAGAGGATATCTAAATAGATGGTAAAAATATGACAGTGAGACTAACTTCATTAGACATCAGGGAAAGACAGCTTAAACCATACTGAAGCATCATTACATGCAGATTAGATGGCTAATACTGAAAGATAAAAGTGTCAAATCTTGGTAAGTGTGTGGAGCAAACAGCATACTCATATACTGCTTATGGAAATCCAATCATTTAAAATACCTGTTTAATGGTTTTTAATAAAGATGAAACCAAGCACATCATGTGACACAGAAATCTCATCTGTATCTATCACTCCCTTCCTCTCTCTCTCTCTCCCTCCCCCCTCCCCCTCCCTC